TTCGTTGGACGGTCGTTTACGGAAAATGAGCAGGCTGTTCAATAACCAATTTTCCGTCAAAGCTTTCACGTGTCCGTACGTGAGAACCACATGTGCTTGGGGGCTGAATTTGAAATTTTTAAGTTCTAAAGGAACAGAAAACATTCCCTTAAAATTGCAGCTTTTTGGCTTTTCTGATCCCGAGTTAGAAATTTTCCCGTCAAAACATTCGCGCACGTGATAACCTCGCACGCCTGGGAGCTAAATTTGAAATCCGAAGTTATGCGTGGGCAGGAAACTTCCCCTCGAAATTTCAGCTTTCTGTCTTGCTTAGTTTCCGAGATCGTTTTCCCGCCAAAAAATTTGCATATTTTTTGAGGCGTCCGTACGTGGGACCCAGGTATACACGAGTGATAGTATTAATACGGAAGGGTTGCACAAGGGGGGGCACGTACTCCAGAAGCTTCTAGCTTTTCCGGTTCTCGAGTTGGATGTGAGTATCAAAAAAGTGCGAACATACAGGCACAGCCTCTTGCCAACATGCGTTTTTGCTTACTGTAGCAGTTCTGTGGTGCTACGCAGCAAAAACGCATAAAAACTCGACACCACAAGCTTCGTAGCTTGTACCCAAATCCAAAAGCAGTAGCATTTTGTGCGGCCAAGCCGAGTTTTATTGCCTTTTAAAAATAAATTCGTTTTGCAGATTTGCTTGGTTTATGTGAACAGAAGCGCGGCAAAGATAATAAATCAGTGATTGCATCGAACATCATGTATGTGGTTGGGCAGTATCCACGCTTTCTTCGAGCACACTGGAAATTCTTGAAAACTGTCATAAACAAACTTTTCGAATTTATGCATGAAACGCACGAAGGCGTTCAAGACATGGCTTGCGATACGTTCATCAAAGTGGCGCACAAATGTAAACGTCATTTTGTTGTGGTAAGCAAATTTCCCCTCAGTAACTATTCTGTCTTGATATGCAGATGCGCTTGAATTGTGAAATTTCATAACAAAATTTATCAGTAGTTCGAGAAGACTTTAATGGAGGAGAGCTTCTTTTTTCCTGTTTATTTCTTGCTCTTCTGCGGCTTTTTGGAATGGATGAAGACTTTGAATTTCACCAGAATAGCACCTAAATTAGAAGTCTTCGTTGACTGGCACAGCTGTTGACGATCTCTTCGCCATTTTCTGGCATGTCTGATGCCGGGCTGCAAGAAAAGCCTGAAAAAGTTTAATAAATTTAAACCGTATAGATTTGCTGGGTATATGCAGCAAAGCCATATGTTGTTGTGTGGACGGTTTTGTGATTACAGGTTTGCAGATCCGAGAACTGCCGTGTTTTAAGATTAAGTGCAAAGACAGCTTTTTGCGGTACATAGTATCGCATAATCTTGGGGATTTATTTTTTTTTCTGCTTTTTGTGGCGTGGCGTACTTTTGCTCTGTGTATGTGTGCGTGCAACTTCAGACACAAGCTGGCGAGAGTGGCCCTTTCATCGATGAGATCCTGAGCAGCCTGAATTCGATCATTTGTGACTTGTCGCCACAGCAAGTGCACGTTTTCTATGAAGCTGTTGGCTGTCTAATCTCGGCGCAGAATGAGAGTGTTATTCGCGAAAACCTGATCGAGCGTCTGATGCAGTTGCCGAATTCAATTTGGGAAGAAATCATCTCGCATGCTAGTCAGGTGCGTCCAGACCTTTCTACGTGAAGTCGTCGAACAAACAACACGGCGCTTGTTTCTTAGCTTCATTCCAAGTATTGTACTCGTCAGGCAGCGTTTTGGCGCACGTTGAGGGCAAAGCGGGCCAAATTTTAATGTCATAGATGTCCCATTCTCGGTCTTTGTGGAGCGATATTATATACAGGCTTGCCAGTCGCGCTATGGGGCTTTTCCAGGCTACGTTTTAAGAGAGAAACTTGCGCGCAGGCATCGCTTGCGTACTTGTTGAAGCGAAATTCTGCGTTCTGGTTTTTATGGTAATTAACTGTTTGATCGTGCAATGTTAGTAATATAAGTGCTCGAACTCTTTTATTATAATTGTTGTGAATTTGAG